TTGTCCAACAAATTATGTCAATTTATTTCAAATTGCGCTGGAGACCTTGATGACAAGTCTATAATTTATTTAGATAATTGGTAATTGCAAGACTGTTTTTTAGTTCCATGCCTAAGGTGAGAAATATTAATATTTGTGACAAGCAATATCAAATTTATAATAAAAAATTGCTACTCCTTTATAATAATTGTCAGGAGTAATTTCTAGTTGGAATTCCAGATAATCAAATTGGATTATATACATGTGTATGAACTATACTAACATTGCTATTGAACAATGATCACAATACTAATAAAAATTAGAAATTAAACAAAATTTAGGAAATATAGAATTATTTAGTTTGTACATAGACCATAATATATATTGTAAACATGTGTATTTTTTGGTCTACAAGCTTGTCACATAATTTTTCAAAACCAAGTATTGAGAAAACAAAAATTTCTATATGATTGTAAGTTTCATCCTAATAAGAATAATTCAGAAGAATGGGCTAATATTAAAAGGTGAACGATAATTAGGCATTTTTTTAACAATATAATATATATTTTTTAATCTATTTACATTTATTAAATGAATTTTGCTCAACATCCTTAATTTTATTAAATTTCAACACAGTCCTGGTAAACCAATGTTATAAGTAGGTACTTACTACCAATCCATTACCAACAACTATTCAAATTCAAAAGACAGAGCTTTGAAAGCATGTACTGGAGCAATAAACAAACTAATAATAATTCAATATTTCTAATGATAAAATAATATTAAATATTATCAAAGTCATTTATTCTTCTCGGGTGTCTGAAATTAATTGTTCACCGATCTGGCGGACAATCAGGCAATCGGTGCTGAGTCGATCACGTTGCAAAAGACTCATTACGATCATTAGGACCGCCTTCCGACACACAAAGGCGGCCATTTTGAATCCATCGGACAATATTTGTAATTAAGCGAAAATAATATTTCAATCTGTTTGTTATATTGGATTACAAGAACCACCCGAGGGCTCCTCGCGATAGAAAGATTGCCAACCAGGCTGGTGATGCAGCGCCTTATCCTTGGTAATGGATTTTGGGCCGTTTGCTTTAAATAGTAAAGTACTCTAAAACATGTTTATTATTATTATTATTATTATTATAACTGGGCAGCAATTAAAAAACTTCAAGTTTCCATGAATTATTAATTACTACATCGATTTTTTATAGATGGCAACCAAAACAGTGGTTGCGTAATTTATTATTACAAAAGTTATTTTCACTTGCCAACATCTTGATATCTATATTTTCAAGTAAAAGCCAGTGTTACTACTTCTTGACATCATACTTGTTAATGCGTGTATTATTCTGGGACCTCTGATTCAAATTTCGTCGCTCTAACCACTTATCAACACCCTTGTTATAATATTAAGCAAGAAACTGACTAAATGGGTGCATTCGACTTGGACGCTTACGCGCTGTGAGCGCTCACGCTTATAAGCACGAATTTTTAGCGTTCGACTTGGCCGATAAGCGCTCAGAATCGATAACTAAATTCCGTTCGTTTTGGAAACTGTGAGCGTCAATAAGCATCAAAATGGCGGCAACTGGCGGTAACGGTAATTGTGTAAATTTTATTACTTTCTGGATCATTCAGCGGGATTATAAAGAATTTAACAATTAATAAATAAATGAAATTTGGTTTGCTTATGCTTAATTCATATTAATATTAAAATTAAAATTTAAAATTAATTAAATTTAAAATTAATTAATATCAATATTAATATTAAAAAATAATTGTGATCTACAGCTTGTCATTTTTGAGGGATTATAAAGAATTTAACAATTAATGAATAAATGAAATTTGGTTAGCTTATGCTAAATTAATAGTAATATTAAAATTAAAATTTAAAATTATTTAAAATTAATTAAATTTAAAATTAATTAATATCAATATTAATATTAAAAAATAATTGTGATCTACAGCTTGCCATTTTTGCGGAATTATAAAGAATTTAACAATTAATAAATAAATGAAATCTGGTTAGCTTATGCTTAATTAATAGTAATATTAAAATTAAAATTTAAAATTAATTAAATTTAAAATTAATTAATATCAATATCAATATTAAAAAATAATTGTGATCTACAGCTTGCCATTTTTGCTGAATTATAAAGAATTTGACAATTAATAAACAAATGAAATGACAGATAGTAAAAACAACTGACGCTCACGCTCACGCTGCCCTACCTCTGTGGCGTGAGCGTATGTGAGCGCAAAATATGTGCTACGAGCATACTACGATGGTGCTACGAGCGTACTTATGTGACACTCACAGCGCCAAGTCGAACGATGAAAGCGCGCTCACGGCGCGCTCACAGCGCGTAAGCGTCCAAGTCGAATGCACCCAATTTGTACCCTTCTGTTAAAATGGATACATGTTGATTTAGCGTTATTGCGCTTTTTTTTTCAAAATCAAAAACTTACACACTTTCAATTATTATTGCTGGGAGGACGATACGGTTCTACAGAAATTTCTCTCTTGATCATAGTTCATATTAATACACTGGTTTTCATTTTTCAGATATCATTCTTTCAAGTTCCATGATGTAACTTTTAATTCCCCATATTTTTTCTTAACGATTAAGTCTCGTAAAGTTTAGTTTTTGTTTTAGTACTTTCTCTATAAATTCAAACAAATTGCGCTTAAATTTGATTTCTTCATCAATTTTCTTATTTTTTTTTGTTTTTTTTTATTAATTATTTTTTTTAATTTTCTTAATTAAACACAAATATATTTTTAGATTTACATCTCTTTAAGGATTATTTGGAACACATAAACTAGATATTGGACATAGAATTCATATTAACTAGATTTCACACGAACCCTTTGCCTAATTAAATGTAGGTAAAAACAAAAATAAAATTAACATATGCCTCAACGTTTTTTTTTTTTGAATGTGTGGTCTACAATTTTTTTCTAAAATATATTTTTTATTTTGACTCAGTATTGGTGAATCTTTAGTAGGTACGTATATATATCAAAATTTCTGATCCGAGGTTTTGAATCAATATGCTCATTATTACTTTTGCCGTAGCAATATCATAATTTATAATCCAAATATCGTTCACCTTTTACTATTAGCCTATTCTTCTGAATTATTCTTATTAGGATGAAACTAACAGATAAACGAGATGCTGGACATAGAATTCATATTAACTAGATTTCACACGAACCCTTTGTCTAATTAAATAGAGGTAAGAACAAAAATAATATTAACATATGCCTCAACGTTTTTTTTTAGTGTGTGTTCTACAATTTTTTTCTAAAATATATTTCTTTATTTTGACTCAATATTGGTGAATCTTTAGTAGGTACGTATATATCAAAATTACTGATCCGAGGTTTTAAATCAATATGCTCATTGTTTCTTTTGCAGTAGCAATGTCATAGTTTATTTAAAATCCAAATATCGTTCACATTTTACTTCTACCCTATTCTTCTGAATAATTCTTATTAGGAGAAAACTTACAACCATACAGCAATTTTTGTTTTCCAAATACTACTATCATTCGAAGGTTTCCTTCTATGCAATACCTATTCCTTTTATTGTTTAACTTTGTATTGAATTTTAAACCTTCCATTGAGATATTTCCAGGTTCGTCACCTACTTCGTACAGTGATATTTGTTTTAACAAGAAATTTTATATATGGAATTATGTTTCCCATTGATAATAGCTCTTTACCTCTTAGTATTAGAGAAATCTAATAATCATAATATATCAAATATAGTTAGTCCAACTATATGATACCCTTCTAAAAAGCTATGTATAATACGAAATATCATCACAACACAACAGTTCATATAACTCTTGAACTCTGACTACTATTTACTTCTTCGTTTATTGAAAAGCCCATGTCTCTGATACAATAAGCTTAAAATCAACATTTTCTTTGGAGCAGCGTATAATATTTCAAAAGTCCGTGGCCAAGAGACGCCGCCGCCCAATTATAAAACTAAACAAACGTTTACCATAACTCAAAGGCGCCCCCTGTCGCATCGTTCAAATCTCTCGTTGCGATTCCTCTTGAAGTCCGAGCCGCCTCGATGCCTTCGGAGTCTTCGAATGGATATAAAATAATTTTGCGCCGGCAATCATCATCTGGCCGTTGATTAGAATTTATGACACGACCAATCGGACGCCAAATTATTTGATTCTGTTGAGATCTTGTCGAAGTATCGATGTAAATAATTTTAAAAAATGCAGAAATGCGTTTCTGTGATTTTATGTACATATTTGAAAAAATTAATATTTTATGGCCAAACTTATTAGATAATAGATTTTGGTAAAAACGTGCATCTTGCCTTGAATATTAATGTATATTTGTTTTATTTTTATTTCCAACTTTGCGTAGGATGGGTTATACTAATCGCAAAAAACAATTAGAAACAATTAGAATATAAATAACACAAATATGTTTTAGTATCAAATAAGGATTGATTCCATAGTTTTGCATTATCTGCCAGCTAAAGAAAGCAATAAATTAAAGTGATTATTCTTCCTGGATTGGCCGGGACAGTCCCAGATTTCCATCTTGTGTCCCGGGTTTTTCTAAAAGCCATATTTGTCCCGGAGTTAGTTTTTTTTTTCGGAACTGTCATGGTTTTTTTTTTCAAAAATTAATTGATAAATTATAGATAAAAAGTATTACATATAATCGATAATAATAACTTTACCAAAAATCCACGACTCTGACTTAAAAAAAATTATTCATATAGAACACTATTTTTTATTGTGCCCTTAAATAGCATTTATTATTTTAAAGTCCTCGCCCCACGTTCCGTAAAAATATAACTAAAATCGCCGCCCCGGTTTTGACTTAATAAAATGGAGCTCTAAATAAAAATATCCTTGTTTTTTTAATCTAATTAATGGAAAAAAAATCCTTGACCAATATTCAACCAATGCCTTGTGAAATAGATCTTTTATTTCAAAATTATGTTTTTTATATCTAACAATGAATATTAATCTTGATGCGGTGTTAATTGTGTTGGTGTATTCATTTTTCCGCATATAGCCTTGCTGCTTTCCGGAACCGGATAATAATTTTGGAGGTCCGAGGACCCCAAACCAGGGGCCGTTGGTTTTGTTTTTTTCGCTTGATTAAAAGCACCGCAAAATGCACACCTGCTCAGTGCAAAAATTAGAATAATAATTATTATTTAACCAAGTTTAATTTCAATATTTGGTATTTAACAGCGTTATATAGAATTACAAAATATAATATTTCTTTTTTAAAATATTGGTAGTTATTATCTATTTACTGAAGAACATACAATTTTGAAAGCTATTAATAATAATATTGAGTTAATTTAAAATTTTATGTATTTCTTTTATCCATATTATTTACAAATAAATATTTTGTTCATTAATTTAAAGTCAGATTTTTTTTTATTGATATATTATTATAGCATTTTCAAACGCTTTTACTACTTAATTGAGAGCTATATTATTTCGTTCGGCGTATAAAGGGTGTAAATAATGTTTTTTAGAAAACACTTTCAGAAAATAGGCTCAAGTTCTTACATTCACAAAATAGATTTTTGGAAAAAAGATATTTACATCAATCAATCCCACCTGTAAGAAAGATATTCAAATTCCTCCTGTAGCGCCATGCCATTGTGATTATGGCAAAGTGGGCAAATCATGGCGAAACGATTCGAAGCTCCGTCTTTTGCAATAAAATCTACTAATCTGTCTAAAAATGTACCATGTGATGATAATATTGGACGAGGAAGCAATCTGGATGGTACTATTTCAGGGGTTTTTTCGTTCAGGGGTTTCGAACTTGTGCGACGACCCTGATTATGATGGAAGTTGAATTTTACATTTACCAAACTAATAAAAGTTAGAAGTTCAATCACAAACCCTGAGCAAACCCTGAGCAAATTCATTTAATTCCCAGTTCAATAGAAGAACTATTGACATCAGATATATAAAATTAATATTTTTATAAAACTTTTATTTATCAATTAGCTTCAAAGAATTTCTAGAAGTATGAGTAGAGCGGTATGTTCATTAAAACTGGACAGAAATATTACTTTGCACGATCTCAATAATAATGCTTTTCAGTAAATTTATATGGCTACTAGAAAATAGTATCCTTTCGTTGCTCGTCTGTGATTTCAATGAAACTTAGCATGATGATAGTTTTGGTGCCCAAACTGGCCACCATAATTAGAATTGTAAGAAAACTGGTGTGTGAAATATTAAGTAGATCAATATTCAAAATGATCTATATTTTTTCTTGTTGATTTTATGTAATATTTTTTGAATTATTATTATTATATGAAGTCTCACCAGACTATGAGCTGAAACCGAGGACAGTTCGACTTCTTTTGCGCACGTGGAACTCATACTTCTGATTGACTGGACCGATTGGCCGGCCAAACTTTTTGTCAAAGGCCCAGAACTAAAACGTTCGAGTAGATCTTTTGCTGGGGAAAATATTTATATGTTCATTATATAGATAGAAAACGGATGGATTATTCTTACTGATACTACATAAGTCATTATTTCGGTCTTATCGACCAATTTTATATTTTATTTAAATTACTTATTTTCATTTAGACTGATACTAAATTTTTTATCTATTTTTATCTTTTATGTTTAATATCACTAAATTTTGATTGATTTTTGATATTTCTTATATTTGTATTTAGTATTTATCCAAAACACGCTGCCCAAAAGGTACTTAGCAAGGTACATTCACCTCTTTAGCAAAGCATTTTTATTTTCACCGAAACTCTCCAGTAATAAGATTTCGTAATTAAAACTGATCTAACTCAAAGTAATTACCGGTTCTATAGTTCTCTTTCTCCATAACTTCTTCCAAAATCAGCTTTTTCTGCTGCAACAGATCATCCATTACCCTTGAATAACTATTCCACTTTATATTATAATACAAAGTGACTACTTTTTTCGCAATTGTCATCCCCATAGGACACGCCACCATCAAAGGACAAACGTAGAAGGAAAATTCCAGCCAAGATTTAGGCGAGAAGTAGACATAAATCGCTAAACATGATATCAGATAAAACAAAAAGGACATTATCATCAGATTTTGAAGGATTTTCTGGTAACGGATTTGAGAATCTCTCATTATTTCTTCTGTAGCAATTATTCTTTGTTCTAAATTTTGCAAAGCTTCGTAGGGTGGTTCTTTATCATGCGCCAAACTTGCCAACATAGAACCCATTTTAAATTCGAAACGGAGACACTTTTTTAAGCTTTTTAATAATAAATACGCGATAAAAATATCAAGCAGGGTAATCTATACATTATAAATAATTTATAGTAATTTTTAAATAAACAAATTTTAATACCACTTTGACATAATTAATAAATTTTAATACCACTTTGACATAATGTAGTGGAATTTTTGAATATGTCAAATAGTGACGTACTACGAAAATATTCAATTTTTGATAATGGCTATTATTCTGGGTAGCATTTCACTTTCTATTAATCGTATAATACAAATCAAGTATAATATTTACTCTAATAACAAACATTCTGAAATGCATCTGAAATCTTTTTTTGAATTAATAGGGAATATTCATTAATTGTATGAAAAAAATTAAGTAGAATCAAGGAGTTGACCTTTAAAAAGTTACTTATTGTCTCAAATCATATGAAAATTCTTACGGTTTTATCTATTCAATAAGGCTGGAAATATTTTTTTAAATTATAATAAAAATTGATTCGGTAATTTTGTGACTATCCTTGATATAATTTCGATATGTTATTGTAAATGCAATTCTCTAAAAATATAATATAATCTACAAATATGCATAGGATGTATAAAATTTTCATAATCTTTGTCGTATTAAATTTTGCAAATTTTTGATAGAGTGGACTAAGTTTCATATGAATAAGAAAGAATTTCATAAATGTCAAATGAAAAATTATATAGTATTTTTTATTAAAAACACAAATTTGCTATATATTTTGAACTTTTGAACCTATTTCAAATTACCATTTAATCCAGAATTCAATTCTAAATTCTAGACATAATATTTTCCGAGCAAATTTCAGTGCTTTTTTGCAATAAATCACCGATCATCCTCATTATTGATCATGGCGTTACAGTTTAATTCAAGTATATTATTATTTAATTGAAAAACTATTTTAAAACTGACCTAAATGAGTCTGGTGGTCCATGATGCTGCTGATAGAAAGAACTCCTCTAGCAGGTCTTGAATTTTCGCTTGATTTTTCCGACATGGATTCTGATCTATTAACACATAATTCATTTGCACTCACATCTTTCTTCAAATCCATTTTCACCATAAATAAAATAGCACTTAAAGAATCAAGTATATTAATGTCCCACCTTGAATGGTTTAGTAAAATAATACAAATTTGAAACCAATCTCAGCACTAAAAAGTTCTAGGTAAGACGCAATATAAATCCTTTTATCCTGATATATTTTCAAGTCAAAATACAAAAATAATCAAGAGCAATTAACGATAATTAATTATCTACGATCAAATCAACACAGATCATTCAGATCGCGCGCGTGCTCACACTTGCAAAGACAGCGTGTACGCAATCACGTGGAGCTCGTTAGATCGGGGGGCCCTCGAATTGATTGAACAGCGGGGGCTCCCTTCAAGTGGTGCCCCCTTCCACGAACAAATCGAGGCCTTGCAGAGGCGGTGTTCGGAAATGGAACGCCTATAACTAATCCCGCCCGGGAATTTGATAGATGCATGTGCTGGTGTGTTTTGATTGTGCCAGATAGAGGCGGGTTGAGGGAAAAATAGTGTTTTCAATAAAAGATTAGTAACATATAAAACAAAGTCGTTCACTTAGGGTTTCGTATTTTTGACGGTAAATACCATAGTCTTATAGATCATATTAAAATATTACGGCCCTACGACAAGTCGTTTAATTTTAAAAATTCGTCAAAGTTTGTAAAAATGAGTATCGTTTTTTTGGTGTTTGTCAAAATTAGAACTTTCATCGACGTTTGCTCAAAAACGCCTGAACCGATTTCAAAAATTTAAAAGTCATTTGATGTATCTCGCTAAAGATTATCGTTTCTCAGTTTTGTGCGACGATCGACCGAGCTGTTTCTTTGAAAATAGGAAAAAAGCGTTAAACTTTTCGTCCACATTTAAGCTTATACTACCGAATCAAATCAAAAAATCAAAAACTTTTGAATCATATTAATTGAGAATGATACTGATTAGTTTTAGGTGAAAATCTACCTAGCAGTTTTTTTGTAATTAACTGTTAAAAAAGATTTAAGCCAATTTTTATGGAACTTTTTTTGGTGATATATATCATGGTCTTATAGAACTTACTGAAATATTAGGACCTTACGAAAAGTAGTTTAATTTTAAAATTCATAAAAATTTGAGAAAATTAGTAGTTTTTATTTTTTGACATTCTTCAAAATTAATATTAGACGATTTACTTGGGTATAACGATAGAGTATTTGATATGGAAACTGGTTCATTTATAAAAATAATAGATTTTTGAAAATTTGCTTGTAGAAAATACTCTGAGTTAACGTGATCGTTCGTTTTCAAACATATGTAATAAATCCACTTCGAATTATTTACACATATCGGAAAGTTCATGTAACTTGCCTTAAGGCAAAATACCAACACCAACTAGTTATACTTATAACTAGAATACAAGTTTTTGCCATGAGTTATACAAATTTAATCTTTTTCAGTCGATTTGAGTATAAAATCCAGTAAAGTACTTTTTTTTTTTTTTTTTTTTTTTTTTACATAAATAAATATATACATTCTATTTTACAATATTTTATACATAAGTGGATTTATATAACTATTTTTCAAAAAATATTCTTTCCTTTTTTCTCTTAAATTCCTCTCAATGAGTGTTATTTCTTCAAAACCATGATATAAATTATATAAGATTCCAGATAGCAGCCAAAATTTTAACATCTTTTTCTTCTTTTGATTTATATTGTATATCTATTTTGATAAGTTTATCGTCATCTTCAGTTACATCTATTTTCGAGATTTTTAATTTTGTTTTCATCCAATCCCATATAATTTTCTTTTTACCACATTCAGTTAAATAGTGTAAGGCATTTTCCTCCTTATTGCATTTTTCACATTTTTCTGTGCTACTCATTTTTATTCTAAAAAGTTTTGCGTTCATTGCAATGCATTCATTTACTATCAAATAATTTGTTGTTTTCCATTCTGAAGGAATATTTTTGTTTTCTATACTCCTCCATATGTTTTTCCAATTATGGTGTGTTTTTTTTCCATTATTTTAGGAGTGAAATTTTCCAGTAATTTGTTATAAATTTCTTTTGTTTTCGGCTTCTCCGTGATCCATATACAATTTTCATTAATAATTTTGCATTCATTTTAAATTATTTTCAGTAATTTATTATTTTCTTGCCAAAATTGCAAAAATTCACCATTGACTTGCTTTTCATTTATTTGTTTAATCATATTTTTAATGAGTAAGGCTTCGCATTTCTCCTTGGTTGATATTAGTTTCAGACCTCCTTCTAATTGTGTTAGTTTGAGTTGCTTTCTATTAATTCGAAGTCTGTGTCCATTCCATATATAAAACCCTAGCAATGCTTCAATTTTTTGTGAGTAAACCTTTTTCATTGGCAAAACTTGTGCAATATACCACACTTTTGATAAAGCAAACTGATTTACATGCCATATTTTTTGTATTATATTTAGTCTCCTGGAGAGTTCTATATTCAAAGTTATCCTTATACTATTTAATATTTTATCCCAATTTTTTTTTATCATTACATTTAATTTGTTGCTGACTAACATCCCTAAATATTTAATTTCTGATTTTTCTGGTATATTATTTGTTTCTCTCTTCCATTTTGAACCAAGTGGCAGATATGTTGATTTGTTTTTGTTTATTTTAGCACCTGAACATTCACAGTATGATTCTATGGTTTTCAGTGTCTTTTTTTCTTCATCATTTGATTTTATGATTATAGATACATCATCAGCATATGCTAGTACTTTTATATGTTTGTTTATTAATTTTTCACCTTCTAATTGTATACTTAATTGTTCCAGCAAGGGATCTAAGCCGATTATAAAAAGTACCATTGATAACGGACAACCTTGTCTTACTGATCTTTCAATTTTTATACTTGTTGACAAGTTTCCATTTATTTGCAATCTTGATGATGCATTTTTATATAAACATTTTATAACCTTTGTGATTTTGTCAGGTATTGCTATTTTCTGGAGAACTTGAAACAGGTATTCATGTGACATCATATCAAATGCTTTCTTAAAATCAATATTTAATAGACCTGCTTGTTTATATTTTTCTGTATTATAACAAGATACTAAATTTCTAACTGTTGTTAAGTTATTAATAATATTTCTGTCATCTATACAACAGGATTGACCGTCATTTATTACATTTTGTATGCTGTTTTTAATTCTATTCGCTAAAATTTTTGAAAACAATTTTAGATCACAATTTAGGAGCGTTATTGGCCTGTAATCATCTGTATAATTTGGATTTTTTACTTTAGGTATAAGGATGATTATTCCCTCTGTAAACTCTTTATTTATGTATTCTGGATTACTTAAAAATTCATTAAACATTCTTGCAAGAAGAGGTGTAAAACTTTGTTCATATTTTTTATAAAATTCATATGGAATTCCATCTATACCGGGGGTCCTATTATCATTTGCAGATTTTATTGCTTCTTTTACTTCTTCTTCTGTAATCTTATTTCTTAAATTCTCATTGAAAATAATGTTAATATTTTTATTGTAGTTTTCCAAAATAGCAAGGTTTTCTATGTTTGGTATTGATTCTTTTTTATAGAAATATTGATATGATTTTTCCATTTCTTTCATTATATCTATATTGTTTTGTAATAAAGTGTTTTCCGAGTTATACATCGATTTAATATATTTATTTTCTCCATTTTTCTTTTCTTTCGCTATTTGGTATATTGTTAAACGTTCCTCTTCTGCTATTGTTTGTGTTCTTGATCTTATTTTGATACCTTCATTTTTTAAATCATATAATTTTCTAATCGTTGCTTTTATTTCTTTAATTATTTCCCACATACCTCCGGTTTCTTTATGAATTGAGACAGCCTCGTTTAATACTTGCTCAAAATAACTGATTGTGTTATTAAAATCTATGGCATTCTGTATCGAAATACTTTTTGCTATATATTTAATTTTGGGTTTTGCTTTTTT